GTTTGGAGCATTGTGTGATCAAACAAAACATTCAAAACGACAAAGATGATTTCTGAAAAACCTTTAATTCACACCTTAGGAACACCAAACATTTTCAAGGTCTGGGCCATGTTTTGGATAGCAAAATCGATGAACAAATAGGTTCGAACACGGAATGTATTTTGGAAGGCTTCGGTGCCATCTCCACTGACCCGGCTCTCTCTCTCTCTCTCTCTCTCTCTCTCTCTCTCTCTCTCTCTTTCTTTCTCTTTCTCTCTCTTTCTCTCTCTCCCTTGCTCTCTTTCTGTGTTGTGCTATCTCTCTGCTCTCACTTTGCCCCGCCTGCTTTCTTTTGTACGCTCTCTCTCTCTCTCTCTCTCTCTCTCTCTCTCTCTCTCTCTCTCTCTCTCTCCTCGCAACCGCGGGCTCAATCCTCGCACTTCTCAGACTCCTCCCTGCCGCAAGCCGCGCGATCGAAGTTCTGTAGCCATGGCCAGCGCCGTTGAACTTCTAGACGACGGCAGCTCGCGCGCCCACTTGCAGCGGCAAGGCGACGACGGCCGCAAAGGGCGCATCCGCGGCCCGCGCCGCCAGGAGAAGCGTCGCGCCGAGCAGGGCCTGCAGGCGATGCGCGCGGCCAGAGAAGCCCGGCCCGGACCCTGTCTGGAGCGCCGTGGCTGCCGAGGGCCGTTCTTGCTACTAAATCTTCTTAGTGGCAATCCAAGCTGATCATCCACAGCTCCCGGCCGCTCTCGGGGCGCCCCAGGGGTGCCAGGGATAAGCGTGCTCCAGGGGGGCCAAGGATGCCCTGGAGCTTCAGATCCAGCACTGGAGCTTCAAATCCAACCCTGGAGCTTCAAATCCAGCCCTGGAGCATCAGATCCACCCCTGGAGCTTCAAATCCAGCCCTGGAGCTTCAGATCCAACTTTGGAACTTCATCCAGCCTCAAATCCAGCCTTGGAGCGTCAGATCCAGCACTGGAGGGCGAGTGGCGGGGGCAGCCGGGATCCGGGAGCAGCCGAGAGCAGCCGGATTACAGCCGCTGCTCACGACGCCCGTGCCCGATCAGCTTGGGCACATGAGTGAGGGCGAGTGGTGGGCGCAGCCGGGGTCGGGGAGCAGCCAGATTACATCCGCTGCTCGCGACACCTCTACCCGATCAGCCCGGTCAAATAAGTGAGAGCGAGTGGCGGTGGCAGCCAGGATTTGGGAGCAGCCGATAGCAGCCGGATTGCAGCCGCTGCTCGCGATACCCCTACTCGATCAGCCCGCTCAAAGAAGTGAGGGCGAGTGGCGGGAGCAGCTGGGAGCAGCCGGAAGCACCAAACACTGACAGACCGAAATCGCTCCGGGAGCCGATAGCAACCCGAGAGGCCAGACGAGTGAGGGCGGGTGGCGGGAGCAGCCGGGAGCCGGGAGCAGCCGAGAGCAGCCGGATTGCAGCCGCGACATCCCTACCCGATCAGCCCGAGCAAATAAGTGAGGGCGAATGGCGGGAGCAGCCGGGATCCGGGAGCAGCCGAGAGCAGCCGAGGAGCGGCCGGGAGCAGCCTACCAACACAACGGACACCAGGCTGACAGCTATTGCACACCGGCCGAAAACCAGCCCCACACCAGCCGGACACCAACCGGACACCAACTGACAGCAACCAGACACCAACCGGACAGCAACCGCTGCATGCATTGCTTTGCGTAGGCCGCGCGGTGGGGCCTTGACTCATACCACCTGCTTACGTGCGCTTGCTTTGCGTAGGCCGCGCGGTGGGGCCTTGGCCAATGCCACCTGCTTGCATGCACTTGTTTTGTGTAGGCCGTGCGGTGGGACCTTGACCAATATTTGCATGCATTTGCTCTAGGCCGCACGGTTGGGCCTGCCTTGTATGCAATCGGCAATTCCTCTAGGCCGCGCGTGCTTGCATGCATTCGCTTTGCGTAGGTCGCGCGGTGGGGCTTTATAATACCAGCTGCGTGCATGCTTCTCGTGCGATGGTCGCAGCATCTTACAACCTTGTCGGTGGCAGCGAGCCGTCTTGGCAGGGCTACAGGGCCAAACACGGGATGCATGTCAGCCATTAGCTTGCAGTTTTTCAGCTCGCGCGTTTACGTATTTCACCCTGCTTCTTTGCTAGAGCGACAGCCATGGAAATTTCTTTTGAAGCGACAGAGAAGAAAACCATCGATGCAGCAGAGGTTGCAGTGGCTTGTGGGCCTCATTGAGACGGACAAATCGACGGAGCTTGTCCTCGATCTTCCTGTGGCCGTCGCTCGACAAGGGAGACGTCGTCTCAGCGTGAGGCGGGATGCGGGGCGGCACGCCTTGCATTTTCTCATTTCCAAAGCCGATCAAGCGAAGCTGGGATTCGCTGCTCTCCTTGAGGAGGTGCGCCCTGCGGCTGCGCGCGCGCTGCTGAAGCCTGCCTGGGGACAAGCGGGCGCGAGTATTGCATTGTCTTTCCCAGAATACTGTATTGTCTCTGCAGGAGTATTGCACTGTCCCCGCAGGAGTATTGCATTGTCCCCGCAGGAGTATTGTCTCCGAAGGAGTATTGTATTGTCTCCGCAGGAGTATTGCATTGTCTCCGCACGAGTATTGTATTGTCTCCGCAGGAGTATTGCATTGTCTTCCCAGGAGTATTGTGTTGTCTCCGCAGGAGTATCATATTGTCTTCCCCGAAGTACCGTATTGTCTCCGCCGGAGTGTTGTCTTGTTTCTCCAGGAGTTCCAGGGCCGGATCTGAAGCTCCAGGGCTGGACTTGGGGCTCCAGGCTTGGATCTGAAGCTCCAGGGTTGGATTTCAGGCTCCATGGCTGGATCTGAAATTCCAGGGCTGGATCTGAAGCCCCAAGGCTGGACCCATAGGCGGACAACGTGATTTCGGTCAGCTTCCCGCGGTGGCCCGGGAAGCCAGGAACGCCGGGGCTGGATCTGAGGCTCCAGGGTTGGATCTGAGGCTCCAGGGCTGGATTTCAAGCTCCAGGGCTGGATCTGTAGCTGCAGGGCTGGATTTGAAGCTACCCTGGCTGCAACCCTAGCTACCATGGCTGCTACCCTGGGTGCTCCGGAGGAGTATTGGATTGTCTCCGCGAGGAATAGTGTGGACAGCAAACGAACTCCAGACTCGAATTTGGAGCTTGTTGTGGTGTCTCTGGCGTCAGTATTGTGGACGGAGGAGTATAGTGCTGTATCCGCATGAGTCTTGGATTGTCTCCGCAGGAGTATTGCATTGTCTCTCCCGGAATATTGTATTGTCTCCGCAGGAGTATTGCATTGTCGCCGCAGGTGTATTGCATAGTCCCCCGCAGGAGTATTGTATTGTTTCTCCAGGAGTTCCAGGGCCGGGTCTGATGCTCCAGTTCTGGACTTGGGGCTCCAGGCTTGGATCTGAAGCTCCAGGGGTGGATTTGAATGTTCAGGCTTGGATTTGAAGCTGCAGGCCATCCGGCGTGTGTGACTGCGCCTTCCGGACTTCCCATCGGCGCTGCGAGTCCCAAGAAATGAAACCAGAGCGAAACCAAAACGAACCGAGAAGAGCACCAAAGCGAAAGGGAAACGAAACCAACGTGAAACAAAAGCGAACCACAACGAAACCAGAGCGAAACCAACGCGAAACCACAGCGAAACCAAAACGACACCACAATGACACCACACCAGGAACAGCGCGAAACCAAACCGACATCAAAACGCAACCAACACGAAACCACAACGCGACCAACGAGAACAGGAACAACAAACAACGAAACAGAGGAGGTATTGTAGGTCCCACAAGCCGCTGCTACCTTGTTCTACTACTGTTCATACGACATACGCTTGAGTCATTGTAGACAGGCTATGTTCATATGCTAAGATGGCTGATTAATCGAGGAGCCAACTATGTAACAACGTTGCCGGGCAAGCAAGTCACGCCGATGCTGAGCTGCAGCGTTCGCATCAACTTGCCATCTTACCATGCAATAGCGAATCCATGTCGGTCTGGGGAAGCAAGAAACCAAGCAGAGACTCAGCACATCAAGCAAGTAATGCAACTTTAAGTCAAGGAAGCGGGCATGCAGTCTTTTGCCGAAGACTGATCGAGCAAGGATTCAGCAAGCCTAGGCACAAATACAGTGTTTGAGCATTTCCGCCATAAAGCTCATGAACACATACAGTTTGGGAGCAAGGAGTATTCTGGTAGCAATAACACCAGCAACGCGAGCACCAGCAACGACACCCACTGTTTACAAACAGCAATATGTCAGGACAGAACGCGCATACTAGCTAATAGCACCCCGATGAAATCTATGTTTTCCTATGCTTTTCCTATGTGCTTCCTATGCGCCCCAATGTTTTCCTATGCTTTCCCGATGAAATAACACTTCAATGTTTCCCTATGTGTTTCCTATGTTTTTCTTTCTACCAAACGGGGCCAGCTGAAAGCAAGACGACACCCGCGCAATAGCGATCTCAAGGACCTCAATCTATACCGACATTGACCCGGGCGTCCGACAGCGGCCGACGTCCGCTTCAGATCCAGCCCTGGGGCTTCAGATCCAGCCCTGGAGCTTCAGATCCAGCTCTGGGGCCTCGGATCCAGCTTTGGGGCCTCAGATCCAGGCCAAGGCCTGCAGATCCAACCCTGGAGCTTCAAATCCACCCTTGGAATCCCCAGCTCCAGCCTGGGGCCTCAGATGCAGCCCTGGAGCTTCAGATCCAGCCTTGGGGCTTCAGGTCCAGCCCTGGGGCTTCAGTTCCAGCCCTGGAGCCTCGGATCCAGCTCTGGAGCCTCAGATCCCGCCCTGGCCCTTCCAATCCAGCCCTGGAGTTTCAAATCCATCCCTGGGGCTTCAGATCCAGCCCTGGAGCTTCAAATCCAGCCACGGGGCTTCAGATCCAGCCCTGGAGCTTCAGATCCAGCCCTGCATCCCCTGGAGAGACACCACAATGCTCCCGCGGAGACAATGCAATGCTCCTGGGAAGACAATCCAATACTCCTGCGGGGGCAAGGCACTAATCCTGCGGAGACGCCGCAATATTCCTGCAGAGGCAATGCAATATTCCTGCGGAGACAATACAATGCAATACTCCTGCGGGCCATCCTGCAGTTCGCTCGCGCCTGGTTCGGGGACTTCCAGCATATTACTTCCACTTTCAACGTGGCGGAGGATGCGCCAGCGCCGCCGCCAGTCGATGTCAAGGAGCTCTGGGATGAATTGCGCGGCACGCCCCAGCAGGACTTGCACCTCGACTTCTGGCGCGCGAGGCTGCAGTCGCACGCGCAGAGAGCACGGGGCCCCATGACGAAAGCGCTCCTGGCTGGCAGGGGCGAGATCTCCGCCATGAGAGGTGCAGAGGAGAAGCGCGCACTCGAGCGCCAGCTGACCAGTGGCATCGTACCACGTGGGCACCGCGGGCAGCAAGCTCGTATACCAGCGCGATTTTCTTGGCCTGCCCCGCAAGAAGGGTAAGATGTGGGACCCCATCGTGGGCAAGGACATGAATCTGCCCTTCGCTGACTACGTCAGTACTCGAATGCACTTCGAGAAGTTACTGGTGCTCTGGTGTGGCGGCGGGCGGCAGAAAACGCCGACAGCTGTTGGGGCAGCGAACCATTTGGCCGAATATTACGACGTTGGCCACTACTGCGAAGCTTCCAGTCCGGATGCGCTGAAGCCCGCTCAGGAATATGTCGGCAGGTGCGTGCCTGTGATCTTGGAGGAGCTGCCTGCCAAGGACGTCAGCCAGAAAGGCCGAAAGAAGCAGCTCTTCGAGATTCGGAGCGGCGGACAGCGCCGCGTCCGCAACGCCTGTGTGTGCTTCCACCCGCTATCAACGACGTGCCGCAAGATTGGCTGAGAGCCGTGGACGGCGTCGCGGGTGCTGGCGAGGAACCAATGAAGAAAAGGTTGTTCTTCGTGCACGTGGGTGATCTGGTGATTGCCCCATCGGGGGTGGCCGCGCATGAGGCCGATTTGGATGCAATTGTGGCCGAGGGTAAGCGGCGGCGATTGGAGCTGCAGGATATCACAGCTTCAGAATCGGATCTCACACCGACGACGGCGGGCAGTGCATATGTGGAGGCCATGAGTACACCAGGAGAGAGCGATGATGAGGACGATGTGCCTGACAATGCAGCTTCTGCTTCCTCGTCCGACGCCTCGCAGCTTCCCGTTGGCGCATCTGGGCCGCCTGGCGGCCAGCCGCTCATTGCTCGCCTGCCCGAGTTCGTTGCCGTCTACTTGGTTTTTGCCGCAGGTGTTCTCGTCCGCGTGGGCGAGATGGCGGGAGAAGTCCACCGGCACTACTTGACAGCGTTGCGAAGCGTGCAGCCTGACATGGCCGATGCCTATGAGAACACCGCGCGCTGTTCCGTGTCTTTGGCCGCAACCGAAGGAGAGGTTGTGCGAGAGTGGTTGAGCGGAGAGGAGATGACGGAGGATGCGTTGTAGAATCTCATCATTGGCCAGACCGTGTTCCCCAGTTGGCGTCGCCTCGAGGCGTTTGGCCGATCGGCATGGGATGGTACCCGGTGGATGATGAGGATTGCAGTAGCAGCGGCAGCGAGGAGCGGAGGGAACGCGGGGAGGTGGGGGGAGGCAGAGAGCAGCGAGGACGGGGGGCATGCAGCGCATCAACATGGAAGTGAGGGCTTGGTGCGTGGAGCGTGACCGTCGGCACCCGGGGCAAAACGCAAATAATGTGTCGAAACAAACAAGCAACATTCGATTGATCACAGCAGGAAATCTCCAAACCATTGCCTGCGAAGAACCCAAATAACCAACAACCGAATCACCAAACTAAAACAAACCAGCACAGCCAACACACAACGAATCAAGTAACCGTGCATAGCCAACACATAACCAACACATGAACGCGCAAAGAGCGGCAGGCGCCGCGCAACAAATCCATTCCCGACGATTGTGCGCAAAGTGAGTGAATGTCCCGAGCCAAAGCGGCGACGCCAGGGTTGCGCGAAATCGCGAAACTGCCGCGCGAGGCCTCGCACCGCGCGAATGTGACCGCGAGTGTTTGGTGCGCAGTCGCGCGATGTCCCAGGCCAGGACGAGCCGGCCGACGCATCGGATGCTCTGGGAAGGTGGTGCTGGGAAAGTGCTCGGATGCCCCATGCGACCCTGCGACGTTCTTGCGACTGTAGCCGACTCGCTGAGA